GGCGGGCAGCTCCTGCATCTGCAGCCTCTGGGTCGATCCCAGCGTCGGTGGAGACGGGTGTGCTTCCAGGTCCTGCCCATTGCCAGTGCCTCACAGTGTCACCAGAGCAGGGACACTAATTCTCAGGACAGCGTGAGGTTCTCCTTCCATGCCAGGAACTTTCAAAAGGTAAGAGCTGCCAGCCACCATTTAACTTGGACTAGTCACAGCCAGCTCAGTCTAATTTGGTTTTACAAGACTGACTAGAACTGGAATTTTAAACTGTGCTCTGCTCAGGCGTAATCCTCGCTACATGAAATGTTTCATTTCTCAAAGGAGCTGTGCCTTGTCCTGTGTGTCCCTGCGTGCGACTCCTCGCGCTGCCGGTGCAGACTGGAGCTGAACACTGGCCAAGTATTTGTTGTTAGCCTGAAAATGTTCGGCAACCGAAAGGACGGCGTAAGCTACACATCCAAGTCAGCACCTCTGTGCTCGTTAGCTGGGTTGCTAAGGAAATTGTATTTTTGCTAGGGCAGGGTTTAGAGCTAGGACACTACCACTGCTTAATTTCACTGAAAAGCCATCTGTGTGCTATGGCCAGCTGTCAGCCCCCCCACCCCGCTCTGTCGGACCCTGCTTTGGATGAGCTGGAAGCTCTGCAGGCTCAGTTAATTGGGGTGCGCACAGAACCCAACCTGAAATGGGGTTTCTGCCTGAAGCAGCGGCCAAGTCTTCTCCCCTCCCCAGTGACATCAGCCCCGATCTTGTGAACTTGGCAGAGGCCTCTGCTCGCTTGCTCCTGACAGGCTGTCGCCACCGACTGGCTGCCCAGGAGGGCTCTCTAAGCATGGAAAGGAGTTCAGATTTAGTAACTGTTAAGAATATGTTTGTGCTTGATTACTTCTTTTACTCCAAGACAGCAGCAAATTAGGTATACGCTGTTCAGAGTTGTACAAGACTGTTCCCCTTTATCACGAAGCTAGAAAACAAAACCGGGCTGATCAGACTGGAATCAACGAAGGGATTCTCCTGGCGTGTACCTGCAGCCGCCTCCTGCTCGTTTCGTTGCCAGGGCGCTCGATACTCTGCACGCTCTCAGCCTTTTGTTGGGTCGGATGCAATTCCGATGGCGATCCATCATCCGCACCCGCCGTGTCAAGGACTGCTGGGCCTCTGCGGCTCACCACCTGTATTTGCTGGTCAGTCAGGTATTTTGTAAACAGTACGATTTATTATACAAAAGACAACTTTAGGTTTAACACAGTCTCAGCATTCTAAATATTTACAACCACCACCAGTTTTCTGGAGTGACTTTCAGACAGCAGCGTCTCACTGTAAGCAGGTAATGGATAAAATCTGCCCAAGGGTCAGTACGCCCCAGGCAGGACGCTGCGGCTCTGGTGCTGGCCAGAGCCAGGCTCTGCGTCGTGGAGCGGGGCCTCTAGTTCGCTAACATGTCGTTAAGGCAACAGCCCGTCTGCGCATCCTTCAGAAGCGTGTTTACCACATCGTAGAACTTGTTGTCGTAAGCCAGTCTGTAGTGGGTGTAGACATCTTCACAGTAAGCCAGCAGCTTCTTCAGGTTTTTCAGAGCAGCATCAGTAGCCGGGCGTTGCGCAACTCTGAAAAGAATTGTACGTGTAACTGAAATCAAAAGGCTTCACAGACACCGACTGTACGACTGTCTTGCTGCAGTTCTTGAGAAGAGGCTGTGCTCAACATGTACATTGGATTCTCTTGATTATTTTGCTCTGATTCATTTTGAACAAGGTTTGATCTGGCCAGCCCTGTGTATCCAGCTCAGTGAAAATGGTGGATCCAGCGTTACGGCCACAATATGCTTGAGAAACTGAACACAGATCTCAAGCCCCTACGTACTACCCTTTGTCACACAAAAGTTTTTAACAGTACTAAGACCTGCATGCTGTTAAATATGCAGTTGCCTCTCTAAAGCAGCCCGTAGCAAAGAAAGTTCCAAGTTAATCGCAGAACCACTTACTTCTTGGCAATCTCCTCAAACATGCTTGGCTTCAGTGGTCTCTGTTGTCTGAATTCCTCTAAGTAAGTGAAGTCTCCCCTGGTGATCACTTGTTGATACAGAACTTCAGCCCAGTCGGGAACAAACTCGTAAGCCTCAGCCACAATGGCCGCCTGCAGGGAGAGCAGATGCCGCAGTTACTGAGCAGGAAGGGTTTATTCTTGCACAGAAACATCCCTATACTTAGAATACTGAAAATATTCTTGGTCTTCTGTTTGGCCCCTCTCGATGCTGTTCGTGAGAGGAGCTGTATGACAGAGAAATACAAGGGTGACAAAATACTGCAAATAATTGTCCTTAAGCCCTAAACAAGATGGCAGAGGGGGGTTGGTTGCTCTCTTTCAAAAGCCCTTTTCCTTCTCATTTCCAAACGTACAAAATGAGGGATGCCACTTTAGGTTAGATCTCGGGGCTCCGGCGCAGCTTCGCAGCAGCCTGAGAGCCACCGCTGCCGGCTGCGTGACGGCAGGCAAGCCCAGCCAGGACTGCGGAAAGCATCCCCCCACACCCGCAGGACAGGTTAAAGGTCACGGGGCTCGGCGGCCACGCCAAGAGCTGAGCATTCTGCTCGCAGGAGCCCAGCGCTTCGGTACCTGCTGCTTAAAACAATCATTTTCAGAAAAAACAACGGACGAGGAAGCCCAGCTCACCTGATAGAACCTAGGCAAGGAGGTGATGGAGTCCATCAGGTTCTGCCGGTTCAGGTTGATCAGCATGGTGCTCTGACCAGTGTTGAGGAAGTGCAGCTGGAGGGTGATCAGCTTCGTTAGCCGACTGCAGCGCAAGGACTGCCGGACACAGGAGTCCTGTTCAATAAATCAAAGACAAATGCAAGCTTCTGAAGCATGTTTCTAGAGGAAAGCAATAAATACTCCTGACAGCAAGGAGTTCAGAGTTCCCCAGTATTTCATCTTTTAGATCACTGCAATTTTATCTTTGATCATATTCCACTAGTTTTAAATGAAGCTTCACTCACCACAAATACTACTTTCATCATACCACACCAGTTTTTGAACACTAATGTTCTATCCTTGCTAGTTCAGCTCCTGGTCACTCCTCTAAAGCTCGGGAACCTAACCGTGACGCTCGCTGCTAACGCCTGAAGAGGGACCAGCGGCTGCTGTTGGCTGGAGCACGGGAGGAGTGAGCTGAACTGGGGGAACAAACAAAGCTGCTGTGGGGAGGGCGTGCGGAATCCTGTCCCAGTGGAAAAGGAGCCGGGGAGTCTCCTGCTCCGCCAGCTCAGCGGTGTCCCGCCGTCTCGGCAACGCCGCTCCACAATTTGTCCCACAATTTGTCTCATTTTACCTTAGAATAACTTTCTGCTGCATCAATAAAGAGAGTCAGAGCTTTCATCAGCAGCCTCTTTAAATTTGCAACATCCTGAAGAGACTCCTCTGAAACGGGGAAAAAAAAAAGAATAACTATTATTTATAAAGGTGACAAAACAAGTTACAAAAAATCCTCCTGGTACCAAGGCTGTCCCTAGTGGTGTTTCAGAAAGAACAAAAGACTGAAAAATTTTGGTATTAAACAGTGCAAAGAAACAAAGATGCCTGTTCAGTGAACGGCCCAAAGGTATTGCTGGAACCTAGTCAGGTGACTGAGGAACTGAAAAGAAACCCAAACCATCCACCCGCGGTAGCTACAAGCACTGACTGTCACCAGATCAATTCAGGAAACCATCCGGCAGAGCTTCTGGGTTAGTGTCGTTACTGGCTAACGGCTCGGCAGCCAGAGCTCTGCGTGCTCCCCAGCGTGCTCCCAGCCGTACAGAACTCACTAGGTTTAGATGTTCACGAGTTACCTTGCACAAACATAACCCCCATATAAAAAACCACTGTGGCACGTCCTGACGAAGCGAGGAAAACACAGAATCACAGAATCACAGAATAGTAGGGGTTGGAAGGGACCTCTCTGGGTCCCCCAGCCCAACCCCCTGCCGAAGCAGGGTCACCCAGAGCAGGCTGCACAGGACCTTGTCCAGGCGGGGCTGGAATATCTCCAGAGAAGGAGACTCCACAGCCTCCCTGGGCAGCCTGGGCCAGGGCTCCGTCACCCTCAGAGGGAAGAAGTTCTTCCTCATGTTCAGACGGAA